TTATTATTATTATTATCATCATCATCATCATCATCATCATCATCATTATTATTATAATTATTATTATTATTATTATTATTATTATTATTATTGTTTAATAACGTTCATAATATTATTGTTGTAATTATACAAATCAAATATTAAATACCTTCGAGTAACGTAAAGACGATATCCACGTAATACAGTCTTTGTAGAAATCAATATATGTATATTAAATAACGTGTACGTCACATAAAGGTAACAATTGTTATAATTATTTTAAATGGCTTCGTAAGCTACCATTTTGTCGTTAATACATTTTTTATCTTTTTATTATTAGATCTATAAAAAATATATTGTTCTCAACTCTCTCATTTCAAATAAGTTGATATTGCATTAATATAACTTCTATTGAATTATATTTTCCTTAACATTCGTTTCTATTTATCAAGGTATTGTAATAGGGAATTTGAAGATGAGAAAATTCTTATTCAGCATCAAAAGGCAAAACACTTTAAGTGCCACATTTGTCATAAGAAATTATATACGGGACCAGGACTTAGTATACATTGTATGCAGGTAATTTTAACATTTAATATAATCTTTCTTCTATTTTTATTATTTATCTATATTATATTATTATTATTATTATTATTATTATTATTATTATTATTATTATTATTGTTATTATTATTATTATTATAGGTACACAAAGAAGCAATAGATAAAGTACCTAATTCATTGCCAAATCGTAGTAACATTGAAATAGAAATATATGGAATGGAAGGTATCCCACCGAACGATGCTAAGGAGCATGAAAGACAACGTAACGGTGGAAGACCTGGATCACCTAGTTCTGGAGAAGATGAACCTGTACAAAAAAAGGCTAAACCTGAAGGTTTATTAGGTTCAGCACCTGGAGCTATGCCTACGAGTTCTAGTATAATGTCTGGGGTTATGCAAGGAATGACGACGCATCCTGGTATGCCGCCGATGGGTCAGTTCCCACCACCTATGCATCATATGATGGGACCTATGGGCCCAGTAGGTCCACCGTTCATGGGACCTGGGTATAATTATTTCTTCAATTATATTTAAGATTGTGATTATATATTTAACCCCTTGCATTATATCATTTGACGCACTGATAGATCGATGATTTATTTTGTAAGATTCACTACGAGTAGGATTCGTGTTTCTGATGTTTGAGTTGTAAAGTGCATACGAATTTTACATGATATTGTAGGTCAAGGGGTTAAAATTACGATTACAATATTTTTCAGACAATCATGTTAATTATTATTCATTGTTTTTGTGTAGTATGATGCCTGGAATGCCAGGTATGCCACCAGGTATGCAACCACCGGTGTCTGGTACATCTATGCCGCCAACGAGGCCATTATTCCCAAGTGCTGCAGCTGTGTCAACGGCTGCATCTACAGCTGTGACATCAACCCCGTTGGGTACTGATTTTAAACCAATTACATCAGTGGCTGGTGGGTCTATAGGACCAGTCAAGCCAACATTCCCTGCTTATAGTGGTACTGATAGTAGTACCACGACTAATAGTAACCTTGGTAGTGAACAAAAAGTTAATCTTATTGCGACAACAGGGGCTGCTAGTAAAATTATTCATCCCCCTGAAGATCTCAGTTTAGTAAGTAATTTAAGTACGTCTTCTAATAATAATAATAATTATAATAAACTATAGTTTCTAACATTTGGAATGTGTGCATACATTAGGAAGAAATTAGAGCAAGATTACCAAAATATCAACGCCGACAAACAGAGGAGTCTCGATCAGCACAAGCTGACGCTAATCAGCAGGCTGTAGCGTTGCAACAACAACAACAACAACAGCAGCAGCAGCAGCAGCAGCAGCAACAACAACAACAGCAACAACAGCAGCAGCAGCAACAACAACAAGCAGCTGCTAATGTAGCTGCTGCATTTCAAGATCAACAACAAAGACAGCAAGCAGCATTAAATGCGCTCCAACAGCAACAACAACAAAGGTTTCAAAGGCCTCCGCAAGCAGTAATGGTACCAGCATCGGCAGCAATGCCTGTGAGCTCAGTTGCTCTTATGGCACCATTAATGCGACCCACAATGACATTAGCTGCACCTGCTCTTATTCATGGAGGTAACATGATGCGACCGCCCCCCATGGGCCTACCACCAGGTAAGTTAACTATTTCTAAATTAAATCTCTGCCCTCATAAAAAGGGACACCTCCTTTTTACCCCAATAAATTTCTCTGCAAATATTCTCAATTACTTATGTACCCTCATTTTATCGATTTAGAACCCATCAAAGAACATCTCTTAAATGCATGAAAATGAAAGGAACATACATATTTTAGATATCTCAAATTAGATTATATTGATCCAAAAAGAAAGAAAAGAATTTTTTAAGACAACGTTTCCTATTCTTATTGTTAATATTATTTTTTGGTTTTTACTATGGTAGATCGTCAATGTGTTGAGAACAGAAATGTCATTTTTCTTTGGTGGGTCTATCTGATTCACTGCTTTACAAATGAACGGCCTATCCATACAGATATCCCTTTTTCGCTTGAATTTTGTAAATCCATTTAATAACATTAAGATGAATCATGCTATTTGTAATATATTTATGACAATATATATATACTTTTTATTACAAAAATTACTTCAATGATATTGAAGGCTATTAAAAATATAAAATAGTAAGGGGGAGAGAGTTCTTTTCATCTGAGATATTATACGAGGTAATACACTTCTGCACTTTTTCATTCACCATTAACGTATATAGCCTTTGGCCCGAACCCAACCAACCCTTTCTCCGTTACTCCAATTTTACTTATTCAAGATAGGAAAGCATGTTATCTATATAAGGAAGAGATGAAAGAAATTAGAGGGAAGGGAAGGAGAGAAATGATAAAGAAACGATGGGAAGGTATTAGACAATGGAAAAAACAAGGGTTTTTATTTTTTTATTTTTAATGAGGGTACACTAGAATTGTAGTTTCTATCAAAAAAAAAAAAAAAAAAAAAAAAAAAAAATGGGAGAGGGAGAAAAAGAGAGAGAGCGAGAGACAGAAAGAAGTACGACAGTATAAAAAATATTAACGCGCTCAGGATTCATCCGTATGCCAGAATTGATGTCAGCGTGTCTTGTACGTTTACGTTTTAACGGTGCGTTTGCAGGGTGCCCAGTCACTCCTTGGTGAGTGTTGAACGAACCCAGTCTGGTTACTAAAACCGTGTTTTATACAAGTACAACAAGGTTGGTCCTTAGCAAATAGCATGCGGTGACATGACCTATATATCATTATATTTATTATTATTTTTTATTTATTAATTATTATTATTATTAATATTATATTTATTATTATGATTATTATTATTATTACTATTATTATTATTATTATTATTATAATTATTATTAGTTTTATTTATTATTGTCTCACATCATCTTTATATTAATATATATTTATACATATTTCAATATTTCTGTATATTTACATTATTGTCAATGGGCAGGTGGGTCGAGCGGCCAACGAAATAACATCTGTTCCAATTCCTTCCACGTCGGGCAGCCACTTTGATTTTGGGACACATCATGAGTCTTTGGATGTGATATACCTCCTCTCGAAACAATAATAGAGTCATTGGTATCAGGAGCACGATTACATTTCAATTATTCAGTCATATTATTACTAATTTATATTCCACGATTATTATTATATTACGTGCGTTTTCTATTCGATAAAAAAACAACAACCAAGCTTTTTTTTATCAATTAATAGTTCGCTCTATATATTCGGCCGCTCGGCCGGTTTAAAAATCGTATATATATATATATATAATATAAATATTATTATTATATATATATATATATTTCTTCTTCTTCTTGTTTTTTCATTTTTTATTTTTCTACTTAATTTTCTGGATTTTGTTTTTAAGTTTCATTAGCTTCTTCTTTATTCACTATTTCGACTTAACCATATTCTTCTTATTCTTCTTCTTCTTCTTCTTCTTCTTCTTCTTCTTCTTCTTCTTATGACTCACTTGCCATTACCTTGCCAACCGTGTTACCATCATCCTCTCTTCAGTACTACTTAATAGCTTGAAATCCTGGTGTTGTGATATAGTAGTAAAAAAACTGCTTTTTTGGGCACGGTACTGTTGTTCGAAGCTGTCATTGAAACTAAAACAAAATTGTCAAATTCATGGTTCTCTTTACGCTTTACGACTGTCCCTTCCTTCTTCGTCTCTACGTCTCTCCATGGTTTTTATGTTCATGCTGACTAATTTTCTCTTGTAATCGTTTCCTACCTACTGTTATTTTTCTTTCCTTTTCTTTTTGTACATTTTATATAGCATAGAGAGAATGTCAGGATTATCTAATAACATTAAAAATACGTGTTATCTTTAGAAACATTTCTTCTTTTTTTTTTAATTCCAATAGATAATATTTATATTATTTGTGTAAAAGAAAGAATATTATGAGAGAGAGAGAGAGAGAGAGAGAGAGAGAGAGAGAGAAAGAGAGAGAGAAAAAGGGAGAAGGGACTTTAAATACCCATCACATTTAATTACAATGTGGTGCGGTTGTTATGGAGAAGATAAATTAATCAAAAGAAATAATAATAAAAAAAGAAACACGAAAGAACGAATCTTATGTATTTTCCTCACACCATAGCTTAGCTTTTGTGTCACACGAACACAACTTTGCGTAAGTTAGAACGTCTGACAGTAAGTAAATTATTTTACAATACCCAATATACTTCTTATATCGATGCGTCTGCTAAGAAGAAATTGTATAATTAATTAAGGGGATTTTACATTATTTTCGTTTTCTTTTATTTTATGTATATATCGACTATATATATATGTTGCTAGTATGATATATATATTATATGTGAATCACACAATCAAAATAACTCATTTTTAAAATACATATAATCTGCATTGAAATATGGCAATATCAATTATATCGATGCTTTACAGTCAGCCGATAAATAATTGCAGGAGATAGCACGACTCTTATTAAAATTCTTACGCCTGTAAAAACATTATAGGAGAATATTGTGTAGGAATATCAGCTGGCAGCCGAACGGTAAAAAATAATTAACGGATGACAAACCAATCGTAATAATAATGATATTATCATTTTTATTATTATTATTATTATTATTATTATTATTATTGTTATTATTATTCAGTGTATGGTGTGAGGTTTTGTGTGGTACCACCTTTGTCAGTTTGTTGTGATTTGTATTGTGTATGCAGCACATTGCATGCTAAGTTGAGTTCCTCTTATAGTTTGGCAATTCGCATTCATTGAAAGTTGCTAGATAGACGTAGGTGGTCTGCCAACCACAAACCTATATTGGGTGTATATTGTAGTTATAGACAAATCTACTTTTAATCGTTTTGACTTTATGGTTGAGAAATATACATACATATATATATACATATATATGGTTCAAATTGAAATATAAGCTGTAAAAAATATACATATATATATATATATATATATGTATATTTTTTACAGCTTATATTTCAATTTGAACCATATATATGTATATATATATGTATGTATATTTCTCAACCATAAAGTCAAAACGATTAAAAGTAGATTTGTCTATAACTACAATATACACCCAATATAGGTTTGTGGTTGGCAGACCACCTACGTCTATCTAGCAACTTTCAATGAATGCGAATTGCCAAACTATAAGAGGAACTCAACTTAGCATGCAATGTGCTGCATACACAATACAAATCACAACAAACTGACAAAGGTGGTACCACACAAAACCTCACACCATACACTGAATAATAATAACAATAATAATAATAATAATAATAATAATAATAATAAAAATGATAATATCATTATTATTACGATTGGTTTGTCATCCGTTAATTATTTTTTACCGTTCGGCTGCCAGCTGATATTCCTACACAATATTCTCCTATAATGTTTTTACAGGCGTAAGAATTTTAATAAGAGTCGTGCTATCTCCTGCAATTATTTATCGGCTGACTGTAAAGCATCGATATAATTGATATTGCCATATTTCAATGCAGATTATATGTATTTTAAAAATGAGTTATTTTGATTGTGTGATTCACATATAATATATATATCATACTAGCAACATATATATATAGTCGATATATACATAAAATAAAAGAAAACGAAAATAATGTAAAATCCCCTTAATTAATTATACAATTTCTTCTTAGCAGACGCATCGATATAAGAAGTATATTGGGTATTGTAAAATAATTTACTTACTGTCAGACGTTCTAACTTACGCAAAGTTGTGTTCGTGTGACACAAAAGCTAAGCTATGGTGTGAGGAAAATACATAAGATTCGTTCTTTCGTGTTTCTTTTTTTATTATTATTTCTTTTGATTAATTTATCTTCTCCATAACAACCGCACCACATTGTAATTAAATGTGATGGGTATTTAAAGTCCCTTCTCCCTTTTTCTCTCTCTCTTTCTCTCTCTCTCTCTCTCTCTCTCTCTCTCTCTCTCTCATAATATTCTTTCTTTTACACAAATAATATAAATATTATCTATTGGAATTAAAAAAAAAAGAAGAAATGTTTCTAAAGATAACACGTATTTTTAATGTTATTAGATAATCCTGACATTCTCTCTATGCTATATAAAATGTACAAAAAGAAAAGGAAAGAAAAATAACAGTAGGTAGGAAACGATTACAAGAGAAAATTAGTCAGCATGAACATAAAAACCATGGAGAGACGTAGAGACGAAGAAGGAAGGGACAGTCGTAAAGCGTAAAGAGAACCATGAATTTGACAATTTTGTTTTAGTTTCAATGACAGCTTCGAACAACAGTACCGTGCCCAAAAAAGCAGTTTTTTTACTACTATATCACAACACCAGGATTTCAAGCTATTAAGTAGTACTGAAGAGAGGATGATGGTAACACGGTTGGCAAGGTAATGGCAAGTGAGTCATAAGAAGAAGAAGAAGAAGAAGAAGAAGAAGAAGAAGAAGAAGAATAAGAAGAATATGGTTAAGTCGAAATAGTGAATAAAGAAGAAGCTAATGAAACTTAAAAACAAAATCCAGAAAATTAAGTAGAAAAATAAAAAATGAAAAAACAAGAAGAAGAAGAAATATATATATATATATAATAATAATATTTATATTATATATATATATATATACGATTTTTAAACCGGCCGAGCGGCCGAATATATAGAGCGAACTATTAATTGATAAAAAAAAGCTTGGTTGTTGTTTTTTTATCGAATAGAAAACGCACGTAATATAATAATAATCGTGGAATATAAATTAGTAATAATATGACTGAATAATTGAAATGTAATCGTGCTCCTGATACCAATGACTCTATTATTGTTTCGAGAGGAGGTATATCACATCCAAAGACTCATGATGTGTCCCAAAATCAAAGTGGCTGCCCGACGTGGAAGGAATTGGAACAGATGTTATTTCGTTGGCCGCTCGACCCACCTGCCCATTGACAATAATGTAAATATACAGAAATATTGAAATATGTATAAATATATATTAATATAAAGATGATGTGAGACAATAATAAATAAAACTAATAATAATTATAATAATAATAATAATAATAATAGTAATAATAATAATAATCATAATAATAAATATAATATTAATAATAATAATAATTAATAAATAAAAAATAATAATAAATATAATGATATATAGGTCATGTCACCGCATGCTATTTGCTAAGGACCAACCTTGTTGTACTTGTATAAAACACGGTTTTAGTAACCAGACTGGGTTCGTTCAACACTCACCAAGGAGTGACTGGGCACCCTGCAAACGCACCGTTAAAACGTAAACGTACAAGACACGCTGACATCAATTCTGGCATACGGATGAATCCTGAGCGCGTTAATATTTTTTATACTGTCGTACTTCTTTCTGTCTCTCGCTCTCTCTCTTTTTCTCCCTCTCCCATTTTTTTTTTTTTTTTTTTTTTTTTTTTTTGATAGAAACTACAATTCTAGTGTACCCTCATTAAAAATAAAAAAATAAAAACCCTTGTTTTTTCCATTGTCTAATACCTTCCCATCGTTTCTTTATCATTTCTCTCCTTCCCTTCCCTCTAATTTCTTTCATCTCTTCCTTATATAGATAACATGCTTTCCTATCTTGAATAAGTAAAATTGGAGTAACGGAGAAAGGGTTGGTTGGGTTCGGGCCAAAGGCTATATACGTTAATGGTGAATGAAAAAGTGCAGAAGTGTATTACCTCGTATAATATCTCAGATGAAAAGAACTCTCTCCCCCTTACTATTTTATATTTTTAATAGCCTTCAATATCATTGAAGTAATTTTTGTAATAAAAAGTATATATATATTGTCATAAATATATTACAAATAGCATGATTCATCTTAATGTTATTAAATGGATTTACAAAATTCAAGCGAAAAAGGGATATCTGTATGGATAGGCCGTTCATTTGTAAAGCAGTGAATCAGATAGACCCACCAAAGAAAAATGACATTTCTGTTCTCAACACATTGACGATCTACCATAGTAAAAACCAAAAAATAATATTAACAATAAGAATAGGAAACGTTGTCTTAAAAAATTCTTTTCTTTCTTTTTGGATCAATATAATCTAATTTGAGATATCTAAAATATGTATGTTCCTTTCATTTTCATGCATTTAAGAGATGTTCTTTGATGGGTTCTAAATCGATAAAATGAGGGTACATAAGTAATTGAGAATATTTGCAGAGAAATTTATTGGGGTAAAAAGGAGGTGTCCCTTTTTATGAGGGCAGAGATTTAATTTAGAAATAGTTAACTTACCTGGTGGTAGGCCCATGGGGGGCGGTCGCATCATGTTACCTCCATGAATAAGAGCAGGTGCAGCTAATGTCATTGTGGGTCGCATTAATGGTGCCATAAGAGCAACTGAGCTCACAGGCATTGCTGCCGATGCTGGTACCATTACTGCTTGCGGAGGCCTTTGAAACCTTTGTTGTTGTTGCTGTTGGAGCGCATTTAATGCTGCTTGCTGTCTTTGTTGTTGATCTTGAAATGCAGCAGCTACATTAGCAGCTGCTTGTTGTTGTTGCTGCTGCTGCTGTTGTTGCTGTTGTTGTTGTTGCTGCTGCTGCTGCTGCTGCTGCTGTTGTTGTTGTTGTTGTTGCAACGCTACAGCCTGCTGATTAGCGTCAGCTTGTGCTGATCGAGACTCCTCTGTTTGTCGGCGTTGATATTTTGGTAATCTTGCTCTAATTTCTTCCTAATGTATGCACACATTCCAAATGTTAGAAACTATAGTTTATTATAATTATTATTATTATTAGAAGACGTACTTAAATTACTTACTAAACTGAGATCTTCAGGGGGATGAATAATTTTACTAGCAGCCCCTGTTGTCGCAATAAGATTAACTTTTTGTTCACTACCAAGGTTACTATTAGTCGTGGTACTACTATCAGTACCACTATAAGCAGGGAATGTTGGCTTGACTGGTCCTATAGACCCACCAGCCACTGATGTAATTGGTTTAAAATCAGTACCCAACGGGGTTGATGTCACAGCTGTAGATGCAGCCGTTGACACAGCTGCAGCACTTGGGAATAATGGCCTCGTTGGCGGCATAGATGTACCAGACACCGGTGGTTGCATACCTGGTGGCATACCTGGCATTCCAGGCATCATACTACACAAAAACAATGAATAATAATTAACATGATTGTCTGAAAAATATTGTAATCGTAATTTTAACCCCTTGACCTACAATATCATGTAAAATTCGTATGCACTTTACAACTCAAACATCAGAAACACGAATCCTACTCGTAGTGAATCTTACAAAATAAATCATCGATCTATCAGTGCGTCAAATGATATAATGCAAGGGGTTAAATATATAATCACAATCTTAAATATAATTGAAGAAATAATTATACCCAGGTCCCATGAACGGTGGACCTACTGGGCCCATAGGTCCCATCATATGATGCATAGGTGGTGGGAACTGACCCATCGGCGGCATACCAGGATGCGTCGTCATTCCTTGCATAACCCCAGACATTATACTAGAACTCGTAGGCATAGCTCCAGGTGCTGAACCTAATAAACCTTCAGGTTTAGCCTTTTTTTGTACAGGTTCATCTTCTCCAGAACTAGGTGATCCAGGTCTTCCACCGTTACGTTGTCTTTCATGCTCCTTAGCATCGTTCGGTGGGATACCTTCCATTCCATATATTTCTATTTCAATGTTACTACGATTTGGCAATGAATTAGGTACTTTATCTATTGCTTCTTTGTGTACCTATAATAATAATAATAATAACAATAATAATAATAATAATAATAATAATAATAATAATAATAATAATAATATAATATAGATAAATAATAAAAATAGAAGAAAGATTATATTAAATGTTAAAATTACCTGCATACAATGTATACTAAGTCCTGGTCCCGTATATAATTTCTTATGACAAATGTGGCACTTAAAGTGTTTTGCCTTTTGATGCTGAATAAGAATTTTCTCATCTTCAAATTCCCTATTACAATACCTTGATAAATAGAAACGAATGTTAAGGAAAATATAATTCAATAGAAGTTATATTAATGCAATATCAACTTATTTGAAATGAGAGAGTTGAGAACAATATATTTTTTATAGATCTAATAATAAAAAGATAAAAAATGTATTAACGACAAAATGGTAGCTTACGAAGCCATTTAAAATAATTATAACAATTGTTACCTTTATGTGACGTACACGTTATTTAATATACATATATTGATTTCTACAAAGACTGTATTACGTGGATATCGTCTTTACGTTACTCGAAGGTATTTAATATTTGATTTGTATAATTACAACAATAATATTATGAACGTTATTAAACAATAATAATAATAATAATAATAATAATAATAATAATTATAATAATAATGATGATGATGATGATGATGATGATGATGATAATAATAATAATAATGATGATAATAATAATAATAATAGAAAATAAAATAAAATATACAAATCAAAATTACTAATAAAAGATTTTTCTGTGTGCAATAGAATCACATACACGAATGCAATCCAAAAATATAATTACGTAAAATGCTTCTAGATGAACATTTATTTCTCAAAGGATACCAACACCATGGTCTAGATTGCTTCTTCTTTTTACGTCCCATATTATATTTCTTCTAATCGAAAACTTAAAAGAATCACAAATATGTTAAATACGCTATGCAACTACGTGATAAGAACTCGATCCTCACACTAGTAATACACACGCGTAAAAACCGATAACAGAAAATGGCGCCCGCATCTTTTCCGTATACGACGTAAGTCAGTTTAATTAATCAATGAAAATAAAATCATTTCTCTTTGATTTATTATTTTATATTTCCAGATTTCTTTTATTCTAAAACGATTTATTTATTTATCCAATAATCGAATCAACGAATAATTAACAATTTTTTTTTCTCTTTCCTTTCTTGATTTTTATTAATGTCCGCCTATAACCACAAAATGCTAATCCTCGATTAGGTTTTATTTTATTTCATAGATTCTTATAATTTAATAATATCTATATGTACAACGATTTATAAAGATATAAATGCATTATTTTGTTTATGCATATTTGAAACAAGAAAAAAAAATCATTGAAATACCGATATACAGATTTAACACGTAGATATATATTCAATATTTACAATATGCTATCATATATACATAAAATTTTTATTTTATAGACCCACTTGCATCAAAGGAAAAAATACAAAATGTACTCATACTTTTAAATTTTTTTTCTTTGTTTTGACATTTAATATAAATATAATAGTATTTCAAAAAGTGATTGAACTTCTATCTACTTTTACTGTAAATACACGCACTGGTAATAATTTTCAGAAAAATTGTTGAAAAAAAATATCCAACGATGCAAATGGTTTATAGTCTATCATAAAAGTGAATAAAGAATTATATCTAGCAGAAATGATTGCAATGATTTTTAACCCCTAGGCTACTGTGAGCGCCTATTGGTGCTTATCCAATTAAATTTGTAATATTTATAGTAGCAATTCTATTCAGAACACAAAGAAATAAAATCATATTGTTTTAATGTAGTGAAATTTAGATTTTTGATTATTGAAATATTTTTTCACAAAAATGCATCCCTACCCAAAATTTCACCAAAATTTCACGACATATATTGTAACTGAATTTCTATCGTATGGTAGAAATATGTTAATGTATTTCAAAGTCTACTGTAGTCAAAGGGTTAATAAAAAATTCAATATTTAAAGTCAATACAATTACTTTAAAGTTAGATGTGGACCTTTGCTAGCTAGAGAATCTTTGTTTTAAAGGAAGATCACTTTCAGAATCGCTGGAATCTTTAGCACAAGCAAGGTCATTGTCAGATGAAGAGTATTCTTCTTTTATAGGTTTGTTTAATGTTTGCATTTTTTCTTGCTAGAATATTAATTATATATGTTTATGTAATTTTTTTAGCATATATGTATATATACAAACTTAATAGCATTTATTAAATGAAACACCAATAAAATAGATTCATTAGCAAATACCTTAGACCAATGTTTAGCTGGCCTCTTGGATATATTAGTTTTAGTAACGTATTTATTAGCTACCGCTTCGACTCTTCTAATATCAAAGTCTTGATCTATTTTTGTAACAGTCTGCAATCTCTGTTCTTCCGATGTTACATATAAATCATCAGGTCGATGATAACTATTGTGAACATCATATGCTTTTTTACTACTAAATAATGCAGCACAAATGGTACATTTAATTAGATCTCCTGGTATGGTGTCTCTTTCTTCCTGTTATAAAACAGAAATGATACATTTAGATCACTATTTAAATCATGTCATCATGTCATTTATACCTTGGAATGAGCACGTTCCAAATGTTGCTGTAAATTAAATTTGATAATGTACTCTGCACCGCACAAATGACAATAGTAAACACTTAAAGCATCATTCATGGAATTGAGTTTAATTTTGTTGCTTGGGGGTGGAGTAACAATTGGTTGAAATATATGCACCATTCTGTATAACACAAAAATGAATGCTAATAAATTTCTTGTAACAGTACGAACGTGTAGGAAAATAATAGCTATAAGTACCTTTTATGTATCGAACGATGATGATAATCAAATGCTTTTTTATTATAAAATATTACATTGCAATCCTCGCACTTAGCATGGTCATCTTTATTTTTACTTTCTTTTTGGTCATGCGATGTTTGATGATTATCTCTATGTGTCTTAACATATATAAAATTATATTTGTATTACATTCGATTAGAAGTTTTACAATTAATTATTATTATTATAAAGTCAAATAAAATGGAAAAAGTAAAAAACTGAAGCTTGTTTACTTTTAGTGGAAATTGCATCCCACAATAGGGACAATAGAATTTAGTCTGGGAATTAGAATGGACTTTAAATTTATGTCTTATTGTTGCAGTTATACTGTCAAATGATTGACCACACTCATCGCACTTGGTGTCTGCATTTTTGCTATCTTTAACAGGACGTCCACGAGCATCTATTTTTTTATTTGCATGTTTTCTAAAAAAATAAAATTACATATTAATATATATCATCAGTATCATACATATATCATACATATATCATTTTAATTTGAAATAATCTAAGTTCTCACATTATATTTCTTTTTTTTTATTCAAAGTTCTTACCTAATTATAAAAAAAATTTCTAATTAGTGATGTACAAATGTATCAATAAATATTTAATAACCTCAAATCAAAACAATGATCGAATGATACAATGATAATAATGCTCAATCGGTAACATAGTTTTTTTTATAGTGATACAAAAAATATTAAGAATAAATATTACATATTAATAATGTTATTTTTTATTTATTTCTTCAATTATCATATGAAAATAAATTCGTTTAATAATACCATAGAATAGTCTGGATCGTTGATTGGTTTTGTTTATAGAACTTTGTAAGATTAAAATGTTGAATATGAATACCTAAAATGTTCCTGTAATTCCTCTTTAGAATCTAATTTTGAGTCACACAAAACACACTTATGCTGCTCTTTATCACTCATTTGGGCGCGAATTTTTGTTCTAAAAAGAACATCGGAATAACTTCAATAATAACGATGCAAAACGACATCTGTATGTATATATACGTTATATATATACGTAAGTATATAATGCATATATATATGGACGTTTTGCATTTTAACGTATGGACATGAAATTATAAAAATTGTATATCACTTAAAATAATGTTTAAAAATAAAATTTATTACCTTCTTTTCTTCGTTATTTTAAAATCTTAGTTGACTTATTTTATTGTTCGATAAATAAAAATATTAATCGAAGTATTCACGTAGTTGAGAAAAATCAATTTTCAGCTATTTTAATTATCTTGAAAGTTACGCCATCTATATAAGGGAAATTCAAAAATTTCTCTACACAATATGTGCAATTTTACTATGACTCTTGCAATATATTTATATTTATAAAAATTGAAGGATTAATTATTAAACTTACAGTATTTAATATAAATATAATAAATAAGTTTGTTAAAAAATTAGGGACGTAAAAAGAGATTACGAGAGATATGTTCTTTTTTAAAAATCGTTTTGTTATTATATGTATTAATAACTAAACAAATTGACACAGTTTTCGATATTTAAACAAATTAATTTAATAATTAAATCATGTAATTAATAAATTTTGTATTTAATAATAATTATCATACGTATTGATTTTAAATTTGAATATTTTTTGCGCCGATATCTGCTCCTATAGGATTGCACGATGCATGTTCTATGAGTTCACGAAAAATATAACAGATGCCGCTACAATGACGTTTTATTTGTTATAAAAAAATGGCGCAAACGTGAAACAACGATATAAATAATAAAAATATGTATATAGAAATTTTTATTTAATTAATTTAAAAACATAACTAATTAATTAATTAATAAATACACTCATAAATACGACTAAATAAATAGATGAATAAATAAAAAACCAAATAAAACGAAAAAATATCGTTCATTCGATAAAGAAAGAAGACGATTCAAATTTGAAACTGCATTGCTGCATTTGAAACTGCATTGTTTGATGGAAGTATGTAAGTAAAGGATATTAAAAATATATTAATTTAAAACGTTAATAATATTTCTAAAAACTGCTAAACAATTTCTTTTTATAATTAAACAAAATTTTTGAAATTAATCGATTTCATGGGAGATAAATTTCAAAAGATCTATGGAGTTAACCTGAATACATACGTAAAAGATATCTCATAAATAATCAGATGAATTAGGAAATTAAAAAAAAAAATAAATAAAATAGCTTATATATATATGTTTATGTGTTTATTGTAAATGGGCAGAAATTCAGGACGAAGATTCTAGATGAGATCCGGCTATGATACGTGGTTACCATTGCTAGAAGATTTTAACGAAGAGGAAGAAGAAGAAGAAGGAAAAGGAAGAATGGTCAAGAGAATCTCGGTCACTGGGCCTTTTCTCACATCGTGACGTCGTTGGGCCCCATTCGTGGCTTGAGACCACTTAAGAATTTATACATATAAAGTATCTAATATTTAATAGATTTCTTCTTTATTAATCACAGAGTGGACCAAAAGTTTTTAGGTGATTTAAAAAATTAATAACTCTTTTTCAAAATTGTTTAAAATTACAAATAAACTTGTAATCGAATAATTGAGTTTTGTAATTTGATAATCTGAAAACAAATTAGCTTTAAAAAGTCTCAAAGAATAGTAATGTATTAAATCTGCAAGCTTTTGGTCCATCTTGAAATTATGCAATTTTTTATTTTTAGCTTTTCTTTTTATGATAAAGAATTGATATCGAAAAAGAAATGTAACATATAATACGAGTAGTAAAAACGTTATAGGAATTTGATCGTATTAAAAAAAGAACTAATTGGTTAATAGTATTATTTCATAAAAAAAAAAAGAAAGAAAGAGAAGGTAAAGTAGTTTGTACACTTGGTTGCATGTGCTACGTTCTGATAACGGACGTTGACTGCGGTAAAGTAATTCCGGGTGGTTTTGGGTCATCTGGTCGATCGATGGTCCGTTTCGTTTGTTATAGAAATGATGGACATGATCGAAGAACTTGATTAAATCCTATAATAATTAATTTTTTCTTATATATATATATATTTTAAAAACTTTGCATCTGCAGCATTTATTAAAGTTATATCAATGTGATAATAATTCATCACATTTTATTGCATGATTTTTTTATTTCATAAATTTTATAAGTAAACAATTTTTACATTTTCCTCTTCATAAATATATTATTTTCTTTTTGGTATATTACATTTTCTTTAGAACAACGTTTAATATATACTTCTGTTCCTCTTACGAAGAAAAAAATTAGGAAATAATTTATAAGCATTGTAAAAGAAAAAAAAAGAAGATTTGGAATCTTGATCAAAATCAATGGCGATAGAACAGGTCGATGGTGTTTCGAGAGGAGGTATTATAGGTGGGAACGATCGTCAGAAGAGCGTAGAATTTTATAAGGGGGTCATCATACGAGGCCAGCTCCGGTCTGGTTGAAAGCATCGAGCCAGGACAGTCTTTCTTCGGTCGTCGTCCGATCTCGACTGAACAACTCTGATACACATCGTGCAATATTTATGTTATTATTTATCCTTTAATATTTATCCTTATCTGTATCTAATTTTTCGATTCGTTAATCGATTAATTCATTTCTTTCTCTTATAAATCCAACGTTGGTGCAAGAAAACGAATCGTTTCGTCAAAAGTTGTGATTCAAGTTTCTGATCTTGATTTTTTTACAAGTGCAATAAATAAATAATTAAATAAATAAGAGGCATAGTGCGGATTAAGAAGACGTTACGATATCTATCGTATAATTTGTCAAATTTTGATTATTCAGGTAATCTCAACGATATCTTTTATTCGACTCTTTTCTTTTGCCCATTTTTTACATTTTATTTTATAATTATTGCAGTTGTTTTCCGTGTTTCTTTTGTTGGCTTTAATTTGCTTTATTTTTATATCTTTCATTTTCACGTGTACATATGAAGAAGTAAAATACATGTATAGAAGAGATACATACATACACAAACACATATGCATTAATGATAAATGAATACTTGAAATCAATGAATTATTTTGACTCGTTTATTAGCGAAATATAATTTAAGATAAATCTTTATTTGCTGGAGTGTTTTTTGTGCTTGTATGTTTGTCTGCTGTTTCTTTATATATTTGTAGGTATTCGTAGCAATATATTCATCTAGGAACGTTTTCACATATTATGCACGTGACGCTCTCTCTTTGATTAAAGTTACCCGCAAGTACCATTCGAATAAAATGATAAAAAAAGATTAAACAAAACAAATAATGAATAAATAAAAAGAAAGATATATATTTAGATATAGATATATTATAGATATATTATTATATTATATATATTCATACATAGATGATATTTTCGTTAGACGAAATTTAACAGAAATCAGTTTTTTATTTATTTTTTTTAGATTGAGAATCTTTTAACGAATAGTTCTTTTTTCAATTTAATTTCAATATAACGTTGTATTCTAGCCGTAAATTCCTACAAGTCAATTAATTCTCGTGAAATCCATCCTGCTTCCGTTTACGTATATACTTTCTAAAACGCGTTTGTATATTTATATGTGTATATGTGTGTATATAAAAGGATAGACAAATTTGAAAATATTTTATTTCAATTTTTCTTCATTTAATATTTTAATATTAATTGCATACAAACACATACGTACGTATGCATAAAATTAATTAAAAAATGAATGTCGTTTTTATAGGAATTTAGAGGATTATAATTAAAATTAAAAGAACAAGTTATTTCGAAAGGTTTTTCGTTTTTTTTTTTTTCATACAAACTAGAACAGTACTCGTGGGAATCGTGAAAATCCTTGACAAGAACTCCTCTATAAAAGAATTCTTTTTAAAGAGAGATCAAAATTATGAATTCACTGACCTCTTCCTAGTATTACTTAAAATTTACGATTATAGTATTGCACTTAGGGTCAGAATTACCCATGTTAAAATAGATACTTTAACAGGTTCTTGAAGTAATGAAAAGTATTTACCAACTCAACCATAGTCAAGAATTCCAGTTACTGTGTACATATTTACACAGACATAAATGCACATATGCGTATAACATTCACATATGCAATTGTATTTTCTCTCTCTTCCTATAATACAAAATATTATACAGTATATAGTAATATTTTAATATATTATTATATTAAATAATTAGATTAATAAATAATTGTGTCATTTTCTATTATAGTAAATTTCAGTATAGTAAAAACAGTATGAAAAGTAATTTAAAAAAGACACTAATGTTTTCTAACGGAATACCAAAACTACTTCGTAGTCATTTCAACTTGCAGTTAAATTAGATCCAGCTAGTTAATGTAATAAAAATATGAAAAATAAGAATTAAAATGTCTGAAAAAAGAAATGTAATGTTTGATTTAAATTTGCTAATGATTATAATGATGATTTTCAGAGAGTAGGACTTTGACGAAAGAAAAATATCTTTCAAAAGCGGATTTGGAAGAAAGTATTCCACCGATGACGCAGAACGTGGAATGTCATACATACTTTTACACACACACACAAACATATATATATATATATATATATATATAAATGTATATAGATATATATGTATATATAGATATATACGTACGTAGTTTTGAGTACGAGTATGACAATAGAAAGTTAGCAACGTAGTATAAAAGGTATCTACCAGGCGTACAACTGACCCGGAAGGAACGTTGATGACGAATTGACCCACATCCGGCATTTTCTTCTCACTCAAATTTATTCTTTTATTTTCATTCATCGACTTTACTAACTTTGAACAAAAAGGAAACACATTAAAAGAAAAGAAAAACTTCGATATTTGTGTCGGTCGTATTTTTAAAAGAATATTTATTCAACGAAATTAACAAACAGTATATCTCTCTCTCTCTCTCAATAGATTAAAATTAAAATACAGAAAGCAATGAGAATTATATTCCCTGTTTATAAAAAAAATGTAAAAATCCTGGCCATTGATGCACTATGTATGAGTGATTATTGCATTCAACTGCAATATCCATATATTATTCGGTATTGTTATTATTGTAATGTCTACTCAAAGAGTAAATGCATTAAAAAAGATTATAAGTTACATTAAAGTTAAGAAATCAACGTAATTACTTACACGTTCGACCCATTGAAAGCAACATCGCTTCGTAGTCCTCCCTTCATACATTATTCATAGGACAGGATACACCCTAAATTTGAAGGCTTCCCAAAGGATGTAACCGTCAGTAATTTCACTGTGAAACAAAAACCACTGAGTTTCTGCTTCCCATCGCACTAATCCTTAAATTATATTCTATATTTCAACAAAGAAATAATTTTATACATTTGTCCATATTTTTCTAACTTCATAGTCACGTACTCAAAAACTAGTGGACTAAATTTAAACGGTTAAACAAAAATTGATTTTATGATTTATTCGATAATTTAGTGTCTAATTGTAATACTAAAAATAAACTTAATATTTATTTTGAATTTGATTAGATCGATAATAATATTTTTAAATGTTTTAATATGGAATAGAAGAAATAGAAATAGAAAGAAAGGAACTGGTCCGTAACGATTCTTGCAGTAGAGTTCACTTCATGAATAACGTGGCAAAGCGTATTAGAATATTATTTGCGTGGCATAAGAAATAAGGAGAAAGAAGTGAAGAAAATGTATTATTATTACTAATTGCAATCATTATAAAAAATATATTTATTGAATTGTACACAAAAAGTTAGATGTAGAGAATAGTCCAAGTAAATTTACAAGCGCAGAAAAATGCATGAGCATATTCGTATATTGTATATATATATATATATATATATATATATATATTTTTTTTTTTTTTCAACAGATCTAGCGGTTGGTCAAAACACCACTTGATGCGTTGAGGATGCAACGTGATCTTTGCAACGGAGGGTTTGCATGCGCCGTTGTGTGGGTGTCATCGACCTGCCTTCTTCTTCTTCTTTCATTGTCATCATCAGTTGGAGCGGGTACGTCATCGTTTTCTCCTTCTTTCATTCTCAAAATATATTTTTTATTTTCATATCTATTAAATAATTAATGCATTCGTCGATTCATCGAATCGATTTCATTTCATGAAACGTGAAATTGAACTATCGAATTAAAGGTGCTCGATTAACAAACAATGAAACTATCTTGAATACCTTCTTCATATTCTGACATAGAATCAATTCTATGGTTTAATGATAGGAACTCAGGAATTAGAGGGGATAAATGTACTTGCATTAGAAGTCAACAACACAACAAAATAGAAAGAGAAGAATTAAAAAAAAAGGAAAGTACGCGCGCTCTCGAAAGAAACGTGCATCTGCATATAATGCGATGTGGTAAACGTGATTGGATTTATAAATTACTCTTATGTTAGACGATTCTTCCTCTCTAATCCTTGGCACAACCCGAGGAATAGTTTGCAGTACTCGCGACAACTTATCCATATTGTAATATGTTTTAATTTACAACTACAAATCATGCAGCAAAATGTTGAAGTAAGAAATAGTCGAGGGACTCTTTCCTTATCTCATCTGAATTTTTTCGAATCGTTTAAGAGCCAGACTGCAGAAGCCGCCATTCTTCTGAAGTCATTCATCCTGTTCGTTTCTTTTTTTTTTGTCCTGGTGTTTGGACAATGTGCACTCTCTTCCACGCATTTTTCTCAACCGGTCCTTCTTCTTCTTCTTCTTCTTTTCTTTTTCTTTTTCTTCTTCAGTATTTCGCGAAAGCATCCAATTGGTCTAAACCAATTTCTTAATAAGAACAAATTCTGTGTTAGTATGCGAAACTGTTCTACTTATTTACCTAGATCACGCTTCTTGATTCACGTTTAATCACTTTCGTTAGAAAGTTACTTGTCCTGTCTTCTCCTCGATTAAAATATGTTTTCCATTTTGTTTTTCTTTTCACATTTTTTACATTTGATTACAGGCTTGGTACAAAATCTATTTTATTTCATTTCCGATTCGTTCACAGTTCCTGCGTTACTGTTGTAATAAGAGTGATCAATGTTATATAAATCAAGAGATAGTGATCAGTGTTTATTGGATGGAAGTATTAAGGAAATATGTTTAATAGTATGCTTAGATAAGTATGGCAGTAGGGTGCGAGAAACCGTTAGGATTGACTCTATTTATTTGGATTATTATTATCATCGTGTTACACGATTGAACGTACGTATCGAATATTATACGTGTACGTGATCAAAATGCATTCATTTCTACGATCCAACTCGTCAAATGTAAGAAACAATAATTGTTAATTAAATTGACGTGGAAAATATTTCTTTGCAGAGTCATCTGTTAAGGTCATCACAGGCCGATGTCCATCATTCGATGAACAGAACGTATGCCCATCGAGGTCACCAACCTGTAAGGAAGATTCCGAATGTCAATTGTCCGAAGAACGTTGCTGCAAAACAGCGTGCGGATTAAGATGCGTTAACAGCGAGTTATCTGGATGCGAACAGTTGGCATTGGCAGCTGTTAAAAGATTCCGTGCTGTTAACAAGTGGACTGTTGCATCGCAATATGTACCAAAATGTAATAACCAAACAGGGAATTTCGAAAGGGTGCAGTGCGACTCGGAGAAGAAATACTGTTGGTGCGTGGATGAGAAGATTGGTAGTGAAATTCCTGGAACGAGAGGGTCTAATATTAATGATATTAATTGTGACAATCCTCGAACATGTCCGGCACATTCCTGCCGAATGTTTTGCCCACTTGGATTCGAGGTAATAAATTATTTATCAAATTTACTTCTCTCATATGTTGTTGGTTAATTAAATTGTCATTTAAATTTGGATTTTTAATTGTAGATCGATTCAAAAAGTGGGTGTTCCAAGTGTGAATGCAAAGATCCTTGTCGCGGTATAACGTGTCCAGGTCCGGGTCAGATATGTGAATTAATTGATGTACCCTGTGCACGTCCACCGTGCCCACCCGTGCCAAGTTGTCGCAAAGCGAAATCTCTGTTCAATGTATGTCCGGCAGGTGAACCCTTGCAAATCACAGATTCCTTGAGACCATTCTTATGTGGTAATACACCAGGAAAACCAAGTTGTCCACCGATGTACAGATGTTTGGTTGATCCAAAACAAGAATATGGTGTTTGTTGTCCATCAAATTTTAATCTTACTCGAACTGGTACTTGTCCGAACAAGGAACCCACGATTTGTAGTAGGACGTGTCAGCACGATTTGGAATGTCCGTCGCCACAAAAATGTTGTCAGAGTGAACGCTGTGGTCGTACCTGTTTTGTACCCGAAGGTCTCAGCGTGTGTCGTCGCGATCGCATGCTGGCTGAAATGTTAAGCATTTCAGAAAAACAGGGTCGAGGTTACATTCCGCAATGTACTGATGGTAAGGATATCCTTCAATTTATTCTCATTATATTCATAATTAGTATTACCTACAGTATAGTCTTTCTAGATGTCTATAAATAATGAATACACTTTCTAGAAGGAGAATTTCAAACTAAACAGTGTTCAAGGAATGGTTTGGTCTGCTGGTGCGTTGATGATCATGGTCGAAAAATCTCAGGATCTATGGGACCAGCTGAAAGAGTAAATTGCACCTCAATTGCCAAAGCAAGATCATTATCAACGTCTTGCATTCAACAACAATGCGCTCAAGTTTGTCAGTATGGTTTTAAAACAGATTCATCCGGTTGTTCCACATGCGAATGCGATAATCCTTGCGAGGGGTATGTAAAAATAAACAAAGTTCTAATTTGTTCATTGGTGCATCATCAAATTGCTAACATTAATTCCTTCTCTGTTTCAGATTCCCGTGCCCACCTGAAGAAGAGTGTGTTCTCAAACAGGAAACAAATTGTCCTGATTTTCTTTGCCCTACTAAGCCGGAATGTAAAGCCAAAAGAACTTACAAGAGTCCTTGCGTTTATGGTACACCGATGAGCGACGAAGAAGGTAATGCCATCACATGTTCTATCAATCAGACTTGTCCGTACAATTATATGTGTACAGCGGTACCGGAAGCTGGACAATCGGTCTGTTGTGCGATACCATCGACAACTGTGATCAAACCAGTATCAAGTAAGTAATAAAAAAATCAAGCAATTTTTATTGATGATATTAATTGAATATTAATGAATTTCAGTGTGCGAATATCTTCGAGATTTTGGTGAACGAATGGAAGGTACGCGAGAAGGAATGTCCTTGGCTGTTCCACCACCGCAATGCGATAAAAATGGTTTTTACAAGCCCTTGCAGTGTCATAACGGTACTTGTGCTTGTGTGAATCGTCACGGAATTATTTTACGAGGTAACGTTAGTCCAGAAACCGATTGCAAAAGCGTCAAGAATTCTTGGCAAGTTTGCAATACGATATCGTGCGACTTGGTATGTCCTTACGGTTATGAAATCGATTCGAATGGTTGTGAAACATGTAATTGTCACGACCCATGTAAAGACGTGTCATGTGGCTCACGGGAAGTTTGCACAATGGTTGATGTCAATTGTGGCCCGGGAGAATATTGTCCACCGGTGCCAGCTTGTCTTACAACCAAACCTGGACAATGTCCATACTTGGTACCAAGTTCGTCGAGCTGTGAATTAGAATGTAGTACCGATCAGGAGTGTTCGAGTTCGGACAAATGTTGTTCGACGGGTTGCGGTACGCAATGCGTAGCACCAGTCATGGCCACTGCTTGTCAACATGCACAGGCTGTTGCCGAGCATGCTGCTAGAGAGTCCGGTGAACCAGCTCGAAGAATTTATATACCAAGATGTGATGTCAATGGTGCATTCGAAGCAGTACAATGTCACAATGGTATGTGTTGGTGCGTTGATGAGGAAGGAAGAGAAGCTGCAGGTACGCGTGTCCTTGAAGGGATTGTACCGAAATGTAATAAACCTCAAAGGTGTCCAGAAATAGATTGCAAACTTAATTGTCCGGAAGGTTTCGAGTTGGATCTTGACAGTGGTTGTCCTACCTGTTCTTGTAGAGATTCTTGTAAAAGAGTAACTTGTCGTGGGGAAAATGAAGCTTGTAGAATGGTCGAAGTTGCTTGCAGTGTACCACCCTGCCCACCTGTACCAGTTTGTTTACCGAAAAAAGATAATCCTTGTCCGAACGGTACACCCCTTTTGGATCAAAACAGATCACCGGCTATCTGTGGTCCTCACGGACATCAATGTCCATCCACACACAAGTGCGAGTTGTCTCCGTTAGACGAATACGCTGTTTGTTGTCCCAAACCGCGAGAGGTTTGTTTCGAACCTTTACGAATTGTGCCATGCAATTCAACGGCGATGCCTAATGAAACAGAAAGATGGTACTTCGATCCAGAAAAAAACGAATGCAGAATAAAAACCGAATGTACTCACGGCCATAACGATTTCTCAAGTCGTTTGATATGTGACACAGTTTGTCCTGTTTTGTCACAATGCGAAAGATTACGAGAGAAAAATTTGAAAACTTCTCAAAGATTAAAACAATCGACTTTCTTACCAAGATGCAATCAAGACACTGGTATGTGGGAATCTGTTCAATGTTTGGAACACGTCGGTGTTTGCTGGTGTGTTAATAGAAAAGGACAACCTATGAAAGGATCTCTTATCAGAGGACTCGAACCAAAATGCAATTTCAGACAAGCCAGACGTGGTGGTAGAGGTCCTGGTAATCAAGAAATAGATTACAAGATTCAAGCATTTATGGAAGGCACTTTGTTGGAGTTGTTAGAGACTGATGAAAAACAAGTTAAGAGAATCTTTGGCACCAGATGTCAAGCTATGAGAGAAAGGGGTCATGTTTCAGCTATTTGTGATCGTCAAGGTAAATTTGAACCCACGCAATGCGCTGGAGATACTTGTTGGTGCGTTGACGAGGCTGGAAATCAATTGGTTGGTTCCGAACCATTTTTGAAAGGATCTAACATTTGTTGTAAGTTATAGATTACTATTACTGTTGGGATAAATGTGGATAAAAGAAAGGAATGTTATCAATATGAAATGCTGCATAATTTTTAGAAGTTTCTATTATTCGTTAATAAATAAATATATTTTGATATTTTAGTACCAACACCGATCGAGTCGGTAGAAGTGATTTTACGTTTTCCTGGAAGATTCGTAATAACGGATAAAGTTAATTTCAAAAGCGAAGCAAAACAATTCTTGTACGAGTTAGGCGCAAGAATAAAGGACGATATTGAAGTGGATCTCGAACGGGATTCGGCATTTTTGAAATTTGAAATAATCGGTGCGAACAAGGTCGACATAGCTTTTCATTTGGAAGAATTGACAAGGATGCAGAAACTTTTAATGCTTGGGTCATTGGCCGATGAAACGACTTCACGTTTCACACATAAATCTATGCCAGTCGCTGTGGAAAACAGGATCGTTGCGTTAGAGCAACGGGAGATTCTAACGGAAGTTGAAGCACCCGTTTATCAAACGGCCACTCTTGTTCTGGCAGCGGCCAGCGCTTTTGTTATTAGCAGCTTGATAATACTTTTAATGTTGTATCGTAAAAAGGTATTAATATATTATTATATATTAAATATATTAGGGATTTGAATTTATGTATTACGGACCATAAGTTTCTAGATAACGAAAAGTTATTTTATACAGATGAAAATGAAGGATCCAAGCAAAACATTGCCGATGGATCAGCATTTCCTTGCCTACAGTCAACAACCAGTTTACGTGATTTCTGGTCTGGAAAAAGATGAGAAGGATGCAGGACAATTACATGAAAATGTTCAGCTTCCTGAAGCAGCTGATAAAGCATGAACGATTTCATAGATAAAATGTGATTATTTCTAATCAATTTTTCAATCGTTCATGATTCGACTAGGATTTAAATATCATCGCTCATACTACGGAAGTCATAACTATTCTCATTCGTTTCATCATTTGTCATGAAATATTTATTCAATATACTATATTATATATCTATATATAGTATATACAGCGATTAGTATAATCGCCGATCGACCAAATTCAAGAATAAAATTTTTAAGAATGTTTGTAAAAATTAGTCATTATAATAATTTACAAACATTCTAATCGAAAACTGATACATATCAAATGAATTTGATCGATCGTTGATATGGAAAGAGAGCCGAGGATTTTTATCTTTTCATTGTTATCATCTTCCTTTCGAAATGATAAATGAAAAGATAATTTCTATCATGAAAACGATTTAATGACATCGTTGCATTGATATACACTAATGTAAATATTAGATTCTTCGATTATTTATATACATAAATCATTAATAAAGATTGCCACTTATTTCGTTTCTTATTTTTTCTTTTATATATTTTTTTTATCGTGTCTATCGTTTCCTAAGCTCTTAATTCTTTTCAATATGAAATTGAAAGTTTAGAATTTGTTGAATTTAAAATAGATTATAATATGATATGAATATATATCTAATAAAATAATATTGTTAGATAAACCAAGAAAAACATTTTTAAAATAAGATACATAACTTTGTTCGTTATGCGCATGCGTAAAAATGTTTTCAAAGAAATTAAAGATGCTAATTTAAAACACTAAGAAATGTATTTAATAAATTCTTAATGATTTAGAACAATTATTATTCTACTATATTATTTAAATATATTATAGTTTTGTTTATGAAGACGGATAAATTTTGTTATTCTATTCTTATGTGTCTATGATTTTATGATTCAATTTCATACTGCATTGCTTGCGCACAACATTTTGCGCATGCCATCGCGCATTCAGTGCACGTCACCCTGCGTAGAACACCTTGCGCACAACGAATAGAGTAACTTTCATTTTCTGTCTTACTTCAGTCTTTATTATACTGTTTATAAGAACTAGCAATATAATTTTATTAAGTATATCATAAAATATATTATTAATTAATATAGAATATATATGTAAATTAATATAAATAATTATATGTATAATATAAAATCACAATAAAAAACGTAACCAATATTTTGCTACAGGTACACCAACGTATAAACAAGACAACCAATTTTTCGCAACAGGGATACCAATATCATAATTTGCAATAATAAAAAACAAGGTAAATGTTATAAAATGTATTTATATTCATTTTATATATTCAAATATAATGTTAATCCAACAATTTTCTTTCATTAGAACTGAGATCGTTCAAATTTCGCGGTATAAAATTGATATCGAATATAGTCGATCCAATCGATTAAAAATATCGAAAGTGATGACGTAAGAGTAGTTTTCGATAGATCGATTAAAACTAGTCATCCCTATATAGTTTTTAATGGTGAACCGTACGAGAGGAACGTCGACCAATCGAGAGATTCGAAATTGGCGTTGAGGTGATGAAGAAAATAAATTATCTATCTAAAATAAAAATCTTTAATCATTTGAATAAAAATTAACGTGTCCAAATATACATTTAATTAATAAAATATCCTTCATGTAAGATGATCGTAAGATGTCGCTATATCATTACACAGAGGTTACAACGTCCTACGTGGGAATAGTGTGAAATAAAGAAAGAAAAGAAGATAGAAAGATAGTAAGGCAAAAAGAGGTAGATAGAAAAATGAGAATTGTGATTAATATTAGAGACTAACGAGAAGAAGGAAACTTGTAAAATCAACTAAAAGAATAAGCTTTAATGGCAGTCAGTTTAACGAACATACTTGAAGGAGTTTTCAAATCGCATATATCAGATTCATTGGATTACAATTTTTTAACAATTTTATTGTCCTATAAAAACAATCGTATATTCGAAGAGGATAAAAAGAAGAACAACAATAACAAGGAGGAAAAAGAGGAGAAGAAGACGGAAGAGGATAAGAAGAAGGATAAGAATGAGAAGTTAATAATCGGAGGAGTAGAAACGACGTCGACCACCCTCTCGACACAGTTTCTGTTATGTGCGAGAGTGAAGGAAGTCGAGCGTTTATAATTCTGCTACGGTGCTTGTGTCGGTGACAAAGAGAAAGAGAGACGGTAATAAGAAAGGGGAACGAAACTTGACAGAACCAAGGATAGCCTTATATATTAGTAAAAGACAGTCCTTCTGGAATTAAAGGAAAAGATAAAGAGAAAAATATATATATATATATATATATATAAAATACACGAGAGAGAGAGAGATAGTAGTTCGAGCCATAGGAGAAAGAGTGGGACACGGAGTGCACAAGAAAGAGAGAGAAAGAGATAGCAATTAGAGAAGAGAAAGAGCGCGCGCGCAAGAGTGAGACGGACAGACGGATAGAGCAAACAAGAAAGAAAGAGAGAGAAATATAGAGGACGAAGATACACGCATTTTAAACGGCATATCTCTCTTCTTTTCGGCAGATCAGCTTTATTGTGTGTGAACGAGATTACCATCAGTATTTACATTTTTATCGGTGTGCCGTTAATAATATTCTTCTTCTTCATCATCATCTCGAGATATCTTTCTCTTACACATTTATCGAGATAGAAAAATGTATATGTATATGTATATATAGATACATACATACGTTAGTTTCCTTTTAACATCCTCACTCGTTCGAGATTCTTCGACAATCGAAAGATAATCGTCGATTACGAGAAGAGTAATAATAAGAAGAATAAGTGAGACTACGTTTATGCGATATATATAACATATATCGTTCGATTATTATCATTCCTTCGAGAGATTCGGTGTGGTATTATAACCTTGATTGTGTTGCGCCGAGTATCGCGACGACACTACGCACATATACATAGATATATTTACCCATACACAGACGCGCACGCACACGTATCCACGCACAGTAGTTTTGTTACCTTTTGATCATTGTCGCGTGTGACAGTTTCTGAAAAATATTTATAAACACAGAAAATATTAAATATTTCTTAATCGTCCATTTTTGTTTTTCATATATAATTCATATTTCATTTTGTAATTGAACGCTATTTTCTTTTTCTATCGACCACAACATTCTCATAGTTTTTTATTATATTTTTTGGTTATATTGTTAGAAAGTAGTGTAATAATTAATTCGCCATGTTTACGGGTACGATGAAAATCGAAATATGCGAAGCAGTTGGTTTACGTGCCACTGACAAACAGAGAAAATTTTGGCAAGACGAACCGATATTAGATCCTTATGTTCAAATCGACGTTGATGAGAATCATCTTGACCGTTCCTCGACCAAACCCAAAACATCTGATCCTGTTTGGAATGAATCGTTCACTCATGAAGTTCAGGGTGCTGTTAACCTTGGATTAACTGTCTTCCATGATGCAGCCTTACCGCCTGATTACTTTGTTGCCAATTGCAGCATCCCCTTCGAGGAACTTGTCAGCAAGAATGACAAAACTGCTGATTTCTGGGTAAGTTCTATGACTTTTTTCTTATTCGTATAATATCTTATTACAGTTCACTGTCTCTTTATCTATAAATTAGATATTCATAAACTGGAACAGGTTGATTATTTGTACAAAAATCAATTTGTAATATAGAATAATGATTTCAGATTCATTTTTAAAATAATTAACCATAAAGTTTTGTTTTAAGTTTAAATTTGATGTTTAATGTATGAAATATTATTTTTAGGTCGATCTTGAACCTCAGGGAAAGTTGCGAGTGAGGATAGATTTGAAATGGAACGATCTAGGTATGAGGAAAAGCATATATTTATATTTAATCAACAGCAAATAAAATATATATTAAACATTTTTAGATACATTGAGTTGTCGCAGTGGCATCGATGGAGAATCCATTGGTAGTGCTAGAAGTCTGATCAGTATTAGTTCAGGAAAGGAGCCTAGGAGAGAATTCAAAGAATGGCAAGGATTCAATCGTCGAAGAGGTGCCATGAGGCGTCGTGTTCATCAAATTAATGGCCACAAATTTATGGCTACATTTTTAAGACAACCAACGTTCTGCTCTCACTGCCGCGAGTTTATATGGTATGTATATGTTTAACCGCATGAGGGTCAAATGCTTATATAGTTTTTTTTTTCTTACAATATATATATATTTATCTATATATATATATATATTTATTATCGATTGTTAAGATCAAAGTTTTATACGGGTTTACTACTTTTCACTTGCAAATTGACATGTCTGGTATATCTGGAATACTGTGAACATGGTATACTAATTATATAAATATGTTAAACGTTTCTCTTCGGTCATTCATTCTAATGTTCATTCATAATGTATAATATAATATGTGAACTATCTTTAATATGCAACCTTATTCATTTTATATAGTACGAAGAATGACCAAAGAGATTTTTAAAACTGTGTCTTAATTCGTTTTTCAGCAAATAGAATTTTGCTTGCTTGGTTTGGTGTGCTTCATTTTGAAAAGTTTTAAGTAATTAGTATCAATGCAGATATCAATATACAATAGTAAAGCAAACATTTTCATTTCAATCGAACACAAAGGTCTTCGTCGACTTTTGCACACCAAATCTGCATGGTACAAATACGATAAATAATAATCTTGCAACTACAGGATTTGCATGAATGGGATGTTGGTTTATAATTTAAATTGGATTTTAATAATATCAAGAAAAGATAATAAATCATTCACATCCTGAAACATTAAGGTTGAACAAAGTTTCCTTTAAAAAAAAGAAAAGAAGTTTGATTGTATCAATCTTGGTATTATAGAGATCATATCATGGGGGTAGATGAAAAATTTTGTGTTCATTTTGGGTTTTATCACAATTTAACTATAGAAGGTTGCATGCTCTACATTTTTTTTTACTTAGTGCACACACTCCATGTGTTGCTCTGAATTATTTTTTTTCTAAAAACTATCGAGGTGTTGGAGCACTCATGTGTATCAAAGCTGTGTTCGATTAAAAAAGAAAACAACAACAAGATTTAATTCTGATAAATGAAAATAGATTCCATGCGTAAAGCACCAGCCACTTTTTTCTATTAATAATATATATTTTTTTAAATAATTTTTTTTCTTTTCATTTCACACATTATTTATACTTTTTCTTAAGAGTCTACGATAGATGTCTAACTGTGGTATATGGTCCAAAGAAGAATACGTATGTGTTTTAAAAAGGGAATATGAGGAGATGATGTGACGTGTTTTGTCTGTTGTATTTCAGGGGCTTGGGCAAGCAGGGCTATCAGTGTCAAGGTGAGAAAGACACATACACGTTATTAACAGATTATAATTGCGTACTCGCTTGCTGAACCTGTGTATGATGAACGTGTTATTATTATTATTATTATTATTATTAGGAATGTATACATGTTAATTTAGTTTTCACTATGACATTAAATCATTTAGGGTGCATTGGCAGTTATTGCACTTTTACTTACCAACAAATTTATCGACAGTTTGTTGAATTTTCCTTTCCAAATGATTTCTTTTTGTTTTTCCGTCTTTTGGTCATGGTACAAGTTTGTTCTATTAAATGTGCTTTTATTTTGTTCATTTGCACTTTGAAATTGAAGTCTTAAGTGCTGATAATCCATCACCATTCGACAGGATATCTTATTTGCTTTGATTTAACATGGTGCCAAGCTTGGAAACTCTCTTCACACTGCATGATTTTATATTTATGTCCGTTGGATTTATCAAACGAGACGCAAGGTTTTTTAATATCTTGCTATACTATGTGGGATCATTTGCTCCTATGTGACACCTCTATTTGATTATTATTATTATTATTATTATTATATAATTCTACTTCTATTATTGCGACAGGGGTTGAATTATATTTTTTGGCTTTTATTTTAATATGATTTTAGATTATTATTAGGGTGCACTTATAAAAAAATAAAAAATAAAAGAAAAAGACATGCATGCAACCAGCTTTGGTCATGCTATACTTGGTGTTATTTTTTATTAACATGAGATATGGTGTACATAATACAAATATCGTCATTGTCATTGTTTCAGTTTGCACTTGCGTAGTTCACAAGAGATGTCATAAATTGGTGATAACAAAATGTCCTGGAATGAGAGACGAGGTAAGATACAGTATAAATATTCTAGTTTTTTGTATTCCATTATTGTTTTAAAAAAAAGATGGTTTCTTTTCATTATCCAACTGACTAGTTTCAGCATTCTATTTAAATTGAATTATGTTATTTGTGTTATGTATCAATTTTTGTTTTTATAACATTTTAATTTGTATTTTTTTTTCTTTTCTTTTTTATGCTCATTTATTCAGGGCAGAAGTACTGGATTACAGTCACATCAAGATACAGAAAGTCCACGCTTTAGCATAGACGTGCCACATCGGTTCTTTGTCCATACATATAAGAGGTTTACATTCTGTGATCATTGCGGTTCTCTGTTATATGGATTATATAGGCAAGGTTTACAATGTGAAGGTAAGTTTGCTAAATCTCATCTTTATCTTTCAATGTATCTGATTAATTATTTGTACAATGCTTTTCTTTACCAGCTTGCAATATTAATATTCACAAAAGATGTCAAAAAAATGTGGCAAACAATTGTGGTACAAATACAAAGGCGATGGCAGAAATTTTAAGCGAAATGAATATCTCTCCTGATAAACAAATTAAAGCACCACGAATTAATTTTACTAGCTGTCAACCAAGCCAAACGCCGCCAACAGTCGCTGTCACCGAATCGTTAACAACAGAAGCATCTAAGACAGCTGTTCAAAGAAAGTCAGAAGAAAGTGAAGGTGGAATAAAACAAAATGCGGTATCCGTTAGTGAAAATGAAGTAAGAAAGTTTGGTCTAGAAGATTTTAACTTTATCAAAGTACTTGGAAAGGGTAGCTTTGGGAAAGTTATGTTGGTCGAACGGAAGAGTAATCCTGATGAAGTTTTTGCTGTTAAAATATTAAAAAAAGATGTTATTATACAAGACGACGACGTCGATTGTACAATGACGGAGAAACGTATTCTTACGTTGGCTGCTAAACATCCGTTCTTAACAGCTATTCACAGTTGTTTCCAAACGAGTGATCGTCTCTTCTTCGTAATGGAATATGTAAATGGAGGTAAGCCTAAATCTTAATTGATATATGTATATAATAATTTGAACGTACGCTACCAACGATTGAATTTGTTTGCAGGTGATTTGATGTTTCATATTCAAAAAGCTCGTAAATTCGACGAAGCAAGAGCACGTTTTTATGCTGCTGAGGTAACGCTAGCGTTACAATTTCTACACAAACATTACGTTATATATCGTGATCTCAAACTGGATAATATTCTTCTCGATCAAGAAGGCCATTGTAAACTCGCAGATTTTGGTATGTGTAAAGAAGGAATAATCGAAGGTAAAACTACGACATCAACGTTTTGCGGTACACCTGATTATATAGCGCCAGAGATTTTGCAAGAGTTAGAATACGGTGCCAGCGTCGATTGGTGGGCACTAGGTGTATTAATGTATGAGATGATGGCTGGTCAACCACCGTTCGAAGCAGATAACGAAGATGATTTATTTGAATCTATTTTACGTGACGATGTGTTGTATCCAATTTGGATATCCAAGGAAGCTGTTTCGATATTAAAAGGATTCATGACCAAGAATCCAGCTAAACGATTGGGTTGTGTAGTAGCGAACGGAGGCGAAGCTGCTATAAGAGTTCATCCATTTTTCCAACACATGGATTGGGATGCATTAGAAGGGCGTAGGGTTAAGCCACCGATTAAACCAAAAGTTGTAAGTATACATACTATAAATCTTCATATTACTCATCATTACACCAATTCATTTTAATCCATGTGAACAACAAAAATTAATTTATTTTAAATTTACAGCAGAGTAAAAAGGACGCGTTAAACTTCGATGCAGAATTTACGAGGGAGGATCCAGAATTGACGCCAGAAGATCCCGAAGTTGTCAGTTATATTAATCAAGAAGAATTTCAAGGTTTCTCCTTCGTCAACAAGGACTTCAATCCAGCAAGATTTGGGACACAATAGGAGACAAGAATTTATCGAAAGAAGCAAAATGCAAGGATGTTTTTATCGTAAGGCTTCTTTTCGCTTCAATAAGTTTGGACGTAGAAAAATCTCTCTCTCTTTCAAGAGAGAGAATGAAGTACACCAAACTATAAGATCGAGTATTCTTCATCTATTTTTTTCTGAGGTATTTATCATATTTTTTTGAAGGTGTAACGCAAAGTTTGAGAAATAATTCCTTTACGTGGGAATACGTAACGTCACATTACTTCCACTACAGGAGTAGTACGAGTATTGCAGTTTCTAATGACGTTACTTGCGTCATTACATTACTACTTTTTCCCATTACAATCCAATTTGCTCCCTTATTCTTCTTTTTAATTTGATACCGCTGGTGGGGTTTATCGTACTATAAAAATAATTCGAATTCTCAACGTGGATCATTAATGATAGATCCTTTCGAATAAGAATCAACATTAACTTATTGCAAGGAGATTACGTGTATTTTGATCTCTCAGTATCATCACATTTAAACTAGATAAGCATCGCAGTTGTTTCTTCTCATTCATTTCAAAAAGATTTAATTGTAAGATTAATTCGAGGCTCATGTGAGCTTTTAAGAAGAAGAAAAAAAAAGTAAAGTTAACTGGATTAAGGGGGATAAGAGAGAAGGAGTACGTTTACTTATGTATTTTCAAAGAATTTCTAATATCTTGCGGTACTGATTATACAGTATATACATATATATTATATCTTATGCGAATATATGTACTGATTATTACCAACAGTACAAAGAGATAAATTATTAATTAGCTATAAAGTTTATTATTCATTATATATATATACTATATGGCAATTATATATACATATATATAAATATATATATATATGTATATATGATGAAGAGATCGCTGGACGATTAATTTCTTCTTACGACAAAGGACACATCTGTCTTTTAAAGATGTTAAACATATACATATATGTATATATATATATATATATATATATATATTATCTAATTAGAAATGCAATGGCAAGGATTAGAGAGATATTTGCGTTTAGGAATTGCATATGAGTGTTGCGCTATTAAAAAGAAGTTATAAAAGAAAAAAAGAAAAGAAAAATAAGTAAATCTTCTATTGACTTCCAAAAATTAGATTTTGCTTCCTCTCATAACGTTGTCTTTCAATATAATTTGTCATAAATAGTACTATATCTAAATATATAGGAATTTATATGTGGCAGGCATGTTAACGCAAGTATTCTTGAGTCTGAAGATCGAAAAAGAGAAGAAGAAAAAAGATTTAAAAAAAAAAAAAATAAAAGAAGAAGAAATAATAAGCTTTGCCCTTATTGTCTTTTCATATCCGTGTACGTATTACAGTATATGAATCTAAATGTCCTTTCGAATTTAGAAATATTAACGGCAACAAATTTTGTTCCATAGTTGTCACTGTTAATATCGTAAATTCTGACGCATATGCATATGTAAATGAATACCTGAAATGTGGTTGTTTAAGTATAAAGAAATATAATGTAAAGAAGAACATTTGTTCGTCATGTAAAGCATCGTTATTATTTATAAAATGATTTAATTTTAATCGCGTATCCATTCGTATAAATCGAGCATAGGTTTACATATGCGTGTCTGTATCATTGATAATATAAAATGCACCTAGAGAATTTTCAGACTCACGATTATTATAGACACTTTTGAGGGAAGGTATTAAAAATAATGTTCTTATTCCTTATTGTTACTAAAAATAAGTGTTCAAGAAGAAGAAGAAGAAAATGAAGACGAAGGTGAAGAAAAAGAAGCCACAAGTAGGAGGATATTCAAACCAATGAATAATCCAAGTCGTATCCTGTATTATATAAATACATACATATGCTTATTTAAGAAAAAAAATGGAGTCTCCGAATTTAGACGATAGAAACCAAAATGTTAGAAATGAAAGAGCCAGTTCGTTTTTTTTGTGACGAAGACTGAATGTATAAGCTGGACTTAAGTTTTCAAAATAACATTCTCATTCAAAAAAGTAAGAGAGAAAGAAAGAAAGTGAGAGTGTATGCGTGCGTGATAATATATTATAAGTATATATGTGTAAAACTTATGCATAGCGAATATTAACTTGATGATAGCATATATACATAGGTCATTATTATATATAGCGAAGAATAAAAATAAGAAGATTAAAAAAAGAGAACTCAAAGAAATATAGAAATTGGCAGATAATTATGAAATAATCTTTAGTGTCAAGTTCTTGCTATTTCTTTTTTATTTTCTTCTAGTTTTTATTCGAAAAGAATAAAAGCAAAAACGAGAGAGAAGCATTTCATAAGCGCGCTTCTCTTTGATAGTACATAAAATATACATCCGTTAATAATTAAGAACGAATATGCATATTATATAGGTACGCACACATAGAGAATGTGTGAGAGAGAGAAAGAAAGAGATAGAAAGAGATACACACACACACACACACATACACGTACATATTATAATATATATTTATGGAGATTTAAATGATCGAGCAGATTACGATCTTACCTTTAATGATAATGATAATTATCAAGATTTAATGAAAAATTATATTCGATTATAAAAAAGCTTCTAGCACGTCATTAAAATGTGCTAAACTTGTTAAGTTAATAAATGCGAAGTAATACGTGATCGTACAATTTTTCAATGGATCGAATCTATGTAACGTTAGAATGAAAATATTGAAAATTAATATAAAAGGTATATATGCACGTAGATGTAAAAGAAAAGAATATTAAAAATAACAAGAATAACTCGTGGCAATATTTTTATTAATATTATTATTATTATTAGCATGGTATCATGATGCACATATTTTAAAATCATCATAAACATCTTTGTCCTTTTTAATTAAGTGTCATAATGCTTTGTAATTAATTATTCGATTACGTATTTAAAGTGATAACGTAAATTTGGTATTGACGAGTTACTGCAATGTTGTGTCAAAGATTATTAATATTTAAGCATGTATGTGTGTGCGTGCGCATGAGACAAACATATACGATAAAGTTAACGTCAAAGATTTTTACGTACTTATTTCAAAATGTACCTTGTTTATCATGCTTTCGCGTATATACGTACAAATTGTATTTTATGAAAAGCGTTAGGAAAATTTAATTAAAATTTATCTATTGAATTGGTAAAAAGAATATATTTAATTATTACGTGTCAAAGTTAGTATTCTTGCACGCAAACTTTTAGATTTGATTTAATCTTTGATGGAAACTTTATAAAATTTGAGAAAGTTTTAATATACGATGTAATTATTACGTTTAATCGATTAGATTATATTTAATTATAAGGATAAAAGTATATCCATTCAAAGGGTATTCTAGGATGGAATAATTAATAATTAAGCTTCGTATTGAATAGTCGATAAATAATTGTGCAAAAAGAAGAAGGAGAAGAAAGAAGAAAAAGATGACTATGATGATGATGATGATGATGAACATGAATAAAAAAATAGGATAGAACACACACGAAGAGTATGACAAAAAATTAGAAATTAAAATAAAAGGAGAAAGAATAAGAAGAGGATGGATGCAGGATCAAAGTGAAAAATCGTGGCTTCATAGTTGAAAACAAATATGCATTATTCGGTGTTGTGATTCGTTGTTGTTGTTGTTGTGTCATACTCGTAAATACGTTTTTATGTACTAATTCGTCTTAGGTATTACAATTAGATGTATTCTAGAGAAAGGTGGATTAGACATTCATTTATAAAAAAAGGATTAGTCTTATATTTAAATTAGGACAGCGGTTTACAACTTTTCTTGAATTTATATTAGAAAATTAGGTTCATTTTTAATCTAAACAATCAAATCACATAGTTGTAAAGAAAATGAATTGTACTATCCTTTCTATATTATTTATTATTTATTTCTTTATATATTTTTTAAAACTATTATTAGGATTCAATATTTATGATCTGTTAATACACTATTGTTATATATACATGTATATTACTTGATTTTTTTTTTCTATTCATATACGTCCAATAATAGTTATTAATAAACGCGAAAATTAAATATTAACGTGATTGCGAAAATGAGAATTGAAATGGTATCGTTGATGCAGTTTTTTCATAATTTTGAAGGGATATAAAATGACGTCTTAGAATGCGTCTGATTGTGAATTTAAATTGTTTACATTTAAGACGATATTTTTGTTTGAAAAAGTTAATAGAAGTTCTTGCAAATATTTCTTTTATATAAATCATGCTATTGTATTAGAATCTAATCGTAGAAAAGAATATCATCACATCATGTTCAAACAGGAGAAGGGAAAGAAAAGAAAAGAAAAGAAAATATGAAATTTTTGAATATCGCGTCTTCGCTAAATTTCATAGCTTTTGCGCTTATGTATGTACAAAGTAATAATACAATTAATAATTATAAATTATTGATTACGGTTTCTAATTTGTTTTTATATTTTTTATATTTTTGTATTTTTTATTTTCTTTTTTATTGAAAAATAATTGGGGGCAACTTATAAATAATTAAATAAATTGTCATTGTTCTTCGAGAATCTTTGAAACTTAAATAATTATCTTTGCAAAATGATTTATTCATCTATATTTTTATTCGGCACGAAACTTGCGCGTCGTACAATTAATTAATTAATTTAGAAAACGAGATAATTATTAAACATTAAAAACGATTAAATGAAAGAAGATTTGCATTTGATCGATCCGTGTGAGGGCTGTGCAATTATGACGATTCCATCCTGTTTGGAAAATTATTTGAATTTATCAAAGAATGAGAGAATGAGAGAGTGAGAGAGAGAGAGAGAGAGAGAGAGAGAGAGAGAGAGAGAGAGCGAGCGAGAGAGAGATAGAGGAGATGGTTTAGTCCGGCCTACGCGTTTAAATAAATAATAGACGGTCTCGTGCGTTATTTCAAAGAAAAATTAAAAAAAAAGAACAAAACTAAACAGACAAACGAAGAAAAAAGAGAAAAAGATAAATAAAATTAAAAGAAAAAACAAAAAAGAAGAAGAAAAGAAATATAAATAAAAAAAATTAACCCCC